TTACATGTTACTAAAAAAAGTTTTAAGAGTTTGTGCACTATGTGTTTTTGTTACTTCCTTAATTTTTTAGATATCCTGTTTATAGAGACTATCCTAATAAATTGCACATTCTTTGCAATTCAACTAAATTCTAATAGATCTGTAAATTAATAAAGTATTTCTTTTAAATATTTTGCATTTTAGAGCTTAGTAAATGAGTCTCATTCTAATGTACATTTGATCTGAATTATGCCATTTTTCTTGATTTTGTTTAATCTGAATGTTGTGCCTTAATCTATACTTTAATGCCTATAAAACGTGAGAATAATCCTCTAGAGTAGAATATTTTAATATTTCAGTGACACTAGACCTCTGTATTTATGGTATCTGATTCTCCTATTCAGTCTAGAAACTCACACTGTCTTGCAAATATGGGGTTTTTTCCTCTTTGATTTCATTCCAATATGAATTATTGACACGCAATGTATTATAGTAGCTGACATTCTACTGTTACTCTCTTGTTTTGTAATTAACTCTTTAATGATAGAGTTAAGACTGGCAAACTATTGATAACTGTTGAAGCCAAAATATAATATCCTCTGTGGTTTGTAAGTGAAAAACAACTTAAGTATCAGCCATGATAACAGAAGGTAGATTGTCAGTCACTGTAACATTGGCAGAAAACAAACATATTGCACTATATGTTAAAACTATCAGTGGACATTTTAAACATGTGGTTTCTACTTTTCCTGATAATCAGGCTATAAGCAAGAGATCTTTCTGGTTATTTTTCTGCTCTTTCAAACTCTAGGAATCTTTACAATCATACTTCTCATTCCATAAACAGAAAAATCTATAAACCTGATGGGAATAAGAATTGGGTCCCTAATGTTTAATTGGCATACATCAGTGCTACAGAATACTTCTAAACATTTTTAAAGAGAAAAATGTTTTTGATTTTTAGATGGAAATTGTATACATATGGTAGACAACGGAATTGTAGAAAAACTTATGGATTTATTGGACAGACATGTAGAAGATGGAAATGTAACTGTACAGCATGCAGCACTAAGTGCCCTCAGAAACCTAGCCATTCCAGGTAAGACATAAGAAAGATGGCAACTATGTAGAAAATAAAAAATCTAGCATTTGGGGAACATATTATGTGAGTTGAGTATCTTTCCTGACTTATAATAAGAGTTTAAGTTGTTCACATTTTTCTTATTTAACATATGCTCTCCATTTATTAATAAGCTTTCTGAGACTGTATCCCATACAAAATCTTTGCTTTTATTCAGATCATTCAAAGACTATTACCTTTTTAATGGTTAGATTTTCATTATATTGTACAGTTAAGCTTTCTTAAGCACCTCCAGTTTAGAAAAGATAATGGCATTGATTAACAGAATCCCCTAAAAAATGACATTTTCCTTACATGCAGAAATAGTTTTTAAAAAATGTCTGGATAAATGGCTTTTGAACTATGAAATCAAATTATCATGGGAAATAACACAGAAGATAGTTAAAAGTATTTTATTCTGCTTTCTAAAAATAAATATCTGACTAGGTAAAATAGATTTCATAAGGATCCAACCTATATGAGTTCGGTGGTTTATATAGCATATTAATATTTATTGATATCAATTACATTTAATACACTTGGGTCAAAGAAATAAAAACATTAAAGCTGAGAAATTGTGCTTTTTGTAAATAACAAGTCAGTATTTTCAGATTTCCTTTATGCATTATGTAACTAAGTATTTGAATGCATTTAAAAAGCCATTATGATTGTGTATGTTATGCTTATATAGACAAACAGGATGCTTACATACACAACTCTAGTTCTATTCTTAAAATTCGCAGAAAAGTAGCAAAATTGCTTCTAAATAGGAAAATCTAAAATGGAACTGTAAAGGTAATAGGCACTCAGTAACTGTGTATTGAATTGAATGTTTATGATCAAGAATGCCAACACCATCTTAAATATATTCTTTCTCCTGTCTCTAGTTGTAAATAAAGCAAAGATGCTATCAGCTGGGGTCACAGAGGCGGTTTTGAAATTCCTTAAATCCGAAATGCCGCCAGTGCAGTTCAAACTTCTGGGAACACTGAGAATGTTAATAGATGCACAAGGTAAAGGAAATTCCTCATTTTTGTATGGGACTCTGAATGTGCCTCTCTAATTGAAAGAGGTTTTTGTTTTTAACTTTCAGAATTATGTAACCATCAAATACATAGCAAATAAAAGATAAAAATATTTTGGAACTCCATTAATTCTCATGCTTGTTATAGTTGCCTTTAAATAGAAACCAAACTGTTATCTCCCCTTATTAATATATATATGATCCTGGTTTTAGCATATTATCAATTCTTGAGGGTTTTTTGTCTTTAGTAATCCCATATCCATTTTCAATTTTCCCTAAATCTTCAAAGTCATAGATTTTCCATTGTAAAAACAGCCATGAAAACCATTCCTTGGAATAAATTATATTTATTTACTTATTTCTAAGTTCTGAACTCTTTTCCACATTGATTGCTTTGAGTTCTTCAGATCTGCCAGAATACTAACAGACTGCCAGGCTTAATCAAAAGGGTATGAAGTTGTTTGTATATTTTATAATGAAGTCTACAACTTTATAGAAAATGCCAAATAGTCCATCAGAAAAGGAGTGTTTGAAGTGTTTGCTTTAATAATATCATTGTTCTGTGTTTTTAAGACATGTAATTTCCTTCACACTCTTATTACCTTTACCAATTATTTCAGCTGATTGCCTGTCATTCCTTTGTGACTTTTTTTCCTATAGCAGAAGCTGCTGAACAACTGGGAAAGAATGTTAAATTAGTAGAGCGTTTGGTGGAATGGTGTGAAGCCAAAGATCATGCTGGTGTAATGGGGGAGTCTAACAGACTGCTGTCAGCCCTCATACGGCACAGTAAATCAAAAGTAAGTTCCTGAGGAAATTGTTGCTAGATAATGAGACCCAGCAGCTTAGATTGTACATAATAAGCTTGTATTTTTATGTATTTATACATAAAATGTTCATCAACAGTTCTGGGGAAAAATTATTGAAGATTGAGCTTTTCTATGTAGTTGTATTTCATAATAGTTAAGTATAAGGCTTTGGAATCAACAGAGATGGATTTATTTGAAAGTAGAATTAGAGTGAGCAAGCTTCCATCCACTGGTTCACTCCCCAAATGGACGCAACGGCCAGGCCAGAGCCAGGAGCTTCATCTGGGTCTCCCATATGGTTACAGGGGCCCAAGCACTTGGGCCATCTTCCGCTGCCTTCCAGGCATATCAGCAGGGAGCTGGATCAGAAGTGGAGCATCCTGGACTTGAACCAGCAGATGACAGCTTAACCTGCTACGCACCACAGCACTGGCCCTATGGATTCTCATTTTTATCTCTACCATTTAAATGGTCAAGTTTCTTTATGTATTTTTTTTAAGATTATTTATTTAAGAGGTAGAGTTACAGGCAGAGAGGGGGAGATGTCTTCCATCCACTTGTTCACTCCCCAAATGGCCACAACCGCCAGAGCTGAGCCAATCCAAAGCCAGGAGCTTCTTCCAGGTCTCCCACGTGGGTGTAGGGGCCCAAGTCCTTGGGCCTTCTGCTGCTGCTTTCCCAGGCCATTGGCAGGGAGGTGGATCAGAAGAGGAGCAGCCAGGACTTGAACCAGTGCCCATCCAAAGGTGGAGGCTTAACCTTCTATGCCACGGCACCAACTCTGTATCTAAATATATGAAAAGTGGGATAATACCTGTCTGAAAGTGTTGAGGATTTAGTGAGGTCATATATACAAAGTGCTCAGCTGGTACCCAGCACATAGGAAGCACTCAATAGACGTTGCTGTTGCTGCTGCTGCTTCTATTTTTACCACTATTACCAGTGTCAGTGGCAAACATCTTCTGTGGGCCAGGTACTAACCTTGATAGCTGTGAGCATTTAGAAATTATATGGTATCCAGATGGACAAAATGCTTTCCCATAGTAGCGTCCAACTTAATAGCTGTCTGGCACATGGTACTTAGCTAAATTAGTTCATTTGTTCATTCACTGGCTATCATTGTGGTGAGAACCCAGGTCAGAAGCCTGGCACCTCATTTAGTATCTGGATTATATTCCTTTGTTTTTTAATCGTTTTTCTAAGTTGAGCCTTTTGATCATTTCCATTGTACAACCTTATGGTGATTATACATGAAAAGAGTCAGTTTAGAACTCTAATTCTCCAAATATTTTTATTTAGAGATTTAAAAAAAAAAAAAAAATGTGAATGTGTTCCTTGTCTCAAGAGAAGCGGGAAAGAAAGGAATAGAGCACAGCCTATGTAAAACAGCCTAATTTTAGAGAGAACCCACAAGTAAAGCGGTATTGCTGGAACAGAGAGGATATGGAGACCATGGTCAGAAAATGAGAATTGGAGATTGACATGCCAAGTGAAAATATATAGATTTGTTTCTCCATAGAATTTTAAAGGGTTTTAAGTAGCAGAGTTCCATTATTTGGCATTCATTTAGAAATCTGCCATAGGACTTTAATGGAAGCAAAGAGAACAATCAGAAAATAATTGTAAAAATATGCATTAAAGATGATGGTCTGAATCAAGATTTGGGGTTGAGCAGTTGGGATTGTTGATATTTAACCACTTTTGACACAAAGGAACACATTTCATATGGTTGGATGGAAAAGAAAGAGAAGATCTTGACAAAGTTTGACAGAAGGTTTGCAGGAGAAGGTGGTTTTAGAGGTAACTCCAAGGTTTGGATTCAGCCCCAGGTTAATAGGAAGAGATGTAGCTAACTTGGCTTAGTTTTTATAATTTAATGAATAGAAATTTCATATATACAGATTTAGGAACATAGTGATACTTCCCATACTACCTTCCCTCCTGCCTACGCTCCCACTTTTCCTCCTCCTTACTCTTATTTCAATTTTAATAACGATCCACTTTGTTTGTTTACTGTATACTCATAAGATTAACCTTACACTAAGAAAAAACTGTTCCTCAACAGTAGAGATAAGTAGGGATTGTTTATACAATCATCGAATCTCAAAATGTCAGTTTCACTCAAAATCATTACATTTTGGTACTCTTAGTTACCACAGATAAGGGAAAACATGGTATTTGTCTTTTGGGGATTGGTTTATTTCACTAAATATAATGGTTTTCAGTTGTATCCATTTTGTTGCAAAAGACAGGATTTCATTATTTTTTATGGCTGAATAGTACTCCGTTGTGTATATATACCAAATTTCTTTATCATCAGTTGATGGATATCTGGGCGATTCCATCCCTTAGCTATTATAAATTGAGCTGCAGTAAACATGAGGGTACAGATAACTCTTTCATATGCTGATTTCTTTTGAGTAATTTCCCATGAGTGGGAAGGCTGGATCATATTCAGATTTAAGAAGTTTTTCCATACTGTCTTCCACAGTGGCTGCAACAGTTTACATTCCCACCAACAGTGGATTAGGGTACCTTTTTCCCTACATCCTCACCAGCATTTGTTGATTTCTGTATGAGAGTGACTAACTGGGGTGAGGTGAAACTTAATTGTGGTTGTGATTTGTGCTTCCCTGATCCTGAGCATTTTTTCATGTGTGTGTTGGCTATTTGAATTTCCTCTTTTGAAAAAGCACCTCCATTGGCCAGCGTCACGGCTCACTAGGCTAATCCTCCGCCTGCAGCACCGGCACCCCAGATTCTAGTCCCGGTCGGGGCACCAGATTCTGTCCCGGTTGCCCCTCTTCCATTCCAGCTCTCTGCTGTGGCCCGGGAAGGCAGTGGAGGATGGCCCAAGTTTTTGGGTCCTGTACCCGCATGGGAGACCAGAAGAAGCACCTGGCTTCGGATCAAGGCGATACGCCGGCCGCAGCGGCCATTGGAGGGTGAATCAACGGAAAAAGACCTTTCTCTTTCTCTCTCTCTGTCTACTCCCTGTCAAAAAGAAAAAAATAAAATGCACTTCCATTTTTTGCTCATCTTTCCTGCTAGCCTAAATAAAGCATTACATCCTTTCCCTATTCCACCATCTTAGAATCCTAACTTGCTTATTCTCAACACACCATCTCACACTTTCTGTAGTCTTGCTCCACTCCATTAGAATTACCAGCAGTGATTTGAAATTAAAGGAAAACCACAATTCTGTTTAAATAGTTACAAACAGCAGACATGTTTCTGGCATCTAAATTTGGAACTCTTAGATTAATTACTACTATGTGTAACAGGAACTTATCTATAATGTATCTTCAGTTTTGTAGCAATTAACAAAGTTATACAACAAACCGTTATCCATGAAAAGATGCATCCCAACTTAACTATATTTAAAGGCCTAAACAACCGAAATGCAATAATATGAAATTGAAGTTTGAATATTTTGAGGAATATCTTGACTTTCCCTCATCTAACATCCTGTGCTTCCCCTCACCCCATACTCAATGACTCAATTTGTTTGAGTACTTATTGAGCACCCATCACCCTGTAGGCACTTTGAATGACAGTACCTTTCTAAATGTTGTGCATATTTATGTAACAGAAAACAATTTGAAGTTATAGGATTGTAATTTGTAGTCACACTTTACGTAGAGAGCATAACAGGAACACCTGTTAACATTACTCTGGACGTATGAGCAAAGTTTGTGGAAACTGGAATGAAAAGGTGTGTTAATTTTTGAATGCATACAAGAGTTTTCAAAGAATTCACAGAAGAAACGCATATGAAAAATATGCTAGATTTCAAAATTTTTGCACAAAAATGTATCTTAATTCCATTTCCCCCAAACTTTGTGAAGTACCCTAGTACTTTGGAAAATGCTCTTCTGGAATAAACTTTTGCAATAACAAACTTGTTGTTACATATAGATCTTCAGCCAACTGTTATGAATCACAGCTCTCTCCATGTGTTAAACTTTGAAAATAGTACTCCTTTTAAAGTCACCCTGAATTCTGTCTTAGTGCAAACTTTTGGAGGGCTGAACTTGCTAACAAGATTTCTCACCACTTAGTCACTGTAGCCATATGCAGAGTAATTCTGGGCTTATGCCATTAGGTGAATTCACACTCACCTGAAAGGCTGCCCTCAGCTGGAACGCCTCACCAACTTGCTGGGTCTTCAACTGCAGAGAGCAGAAACAAACAAATGCAGCTGTAGCCTACACTGAGGATATAATCATGTATCTTTACTTTCAGAGTGTAACATTCATCATCACTTGTTTATTAAGCTGAAAGCTTGTTTAGACAAATATACTTAGTCATTCACTCATTCATCCAACAAATATTTAAGTCCCATATTGAGAATGCTTTGATGATGCAGTGTTGACAATTTTGGCAGCACCAACCTGCATACTTGTAAATTGATTATCTCTTAAATCAGGCACATCCCACTTGTGATCAACATTATTATACAGTTTTAAACATAGTTTCAACCAGGGTTTATTTCAGTCATCAAGGACAGATTGACTGTTAATGCTAAAAAAGGTGAAATTGTTAGCAAAGAGAAAGCTTATTTTCCTAAAAGAAAACAGAACTGTAAAATAAGACATTATTTTAAACTTTGTAAAAATCTCAAATTTTTAGAGACATTTAGTGATTAGAAGGACTATCTAAAGAACTGTTTCATTGTAGAGTATCTAGAAATTATTATAAGATACTTTGAAAGAAATTAATCTCAGGACTAGCTTGAGAAGTTTATTGGTTAATTGTACTGCTCTAGATGAACCTTCTTGCTATGTGAAGTGGTACAAATATCCTTCACCTTTTGAAAAATCTTGAAATGAAAATATAACTTTACAATACACTCACAGAACCTCGTTATATTAAATTATTGCCATGTGTGGCACTATGAACTTACTACATTACTTTTACACTAGCCATAAAAGATTAAGAACATGGACTCGGTAACCAAACTGCATTCGAACCTTGGCTTGACCATTTAATCATTCTCTGACCTTGGGCAGGTTTCATACCTTAATATGACCTTCAGTTTCTTCATCCATATACTAGAGATAATATTTAGCTAAAGGGATTTTCTGTAGGAAAAAAAGATCTAGATCTATACTCAGTATAATAATTGTTGCTCCATAAAGGGTAGTTGTCAATATTTGATTGCTTTTCTATCACATAGCACAGGTAAAATGCTTTACCCTTTATCCTGCATTCTATCAGGTAAAGCAGCTTAATAGAGTAGTAGCTGTTTAATACACATTTGTGAAGGGAGGGAAAGAGAGACAGATAGTGTATTCCCCAATTGACGGCAGTAGCCTGGGCTGGGCCAGTCTGAAGCCATGTGCTCCATCTGTGTCTCCCACATGGCTTTCCCAGACACATTAGCGCGGCGCTGGATCAGAAGTGGAACAGCCAGGACTCAAACTGGCGCCCATATGGGATGCTGGTGTTGCAGGCAGTAGCTCAACCTGTCACACCACAACACCTGCCCCAGGCATTTCCAAAGGAAACAGATACCTGTCCTAGAAAGGTGAGAGGGAGAAGCTATGCCTGGATATAAGGGAGGACTATTCATTTCTCATGTACCAATTTGCTTTGTATGTTGCCTGCTCTTCCTTCTTTTGCACTGGACTTTGCAGGGTGAATCAAAAAGCAGAAGATAAAATGACCATCTTGGGGCCTTCCTAGGTGAAAGCATGTGTATCTCAGTCTCCTCTGATCCTCTTAACTCCATAAACTCCTTTGTGGGTTTTTTTAACGAAAAAATCTTTGCTGAGTTTCAAATAAACTGTCTTCAAGTAGGCAGTTAATTGGGAGGTTAGAGAGACTTTAAATGATAGCTTCTCAGGACTAGCATTGTGGTGTAGCTGGTAAAGCTGCTGCCTGCAACACCAGTATCCCGTATGGGCACCAGTTCATGTCCTGGCTGCTACACTTTTCCATCTGGCTCCCTGCTAATGGGCTGGGAAAAACTTCAGATGATGGCCCAAGTATTTAGGTTTCTGCCACCCATGTGGGAAACCTGGAGAAAAGTCCTGGCTTTGGCCTGGACTACTAGCCCAGGCTGTTGCATCTATCTGGGGAGTGAAACAGCAGAGAGAGAGACAGATCTTCCATCTATAACTCTGACTTTGAAATAAAATAAATGTTGAAAGCTTCTCACTTTCTAAAAGGTTAGTGGAAAGAGACTTACTGGATGCCAGAATATAGCTAATATAAAAGCCACCATAAAAACGTAACCATTGGACTCCAGTTAGATTAGTATTTTTGATCATTAAAAAAAATTATATTGTCTATATAAATAGGTTTCTTAAAAATGTACATAAGATAGAAGTATGAAGTAAAACCTTTTTCAAATATTTTAGCAAATTAATTTGAAAAGAATTTCTTATTTCAAGTAGTTTGGTGTCATTTTTTGTTGAAATTTATTTATTTGAAATGCAGAGTAACCTAGAGAGAACTTCCTTCTGCTGCTTCACTCCCCATTCGCCCCTCAACAGCCAGGACTGGGCCAGGATGAAGCCAGGAACTCTACCCTGGTATTCCACATGGGTGGCAAGAACCCAGGTACCGGGGCCTTTATTGGCCGTCATCACAATGTTGGCTTAACCCACTGCACTGCAACACCACCCCCAGTTTGTTATCATTGAATCCACCTTAGATTACTTAACATATAAGAGCTTACTTCAAAGTACTAAAAATTAGCAAAAGAAAACTGGTTTTAAAATATTCTAAAAATGAGACTTCTTCCTCTTATAATCCAAGAGTTCTAAGACAACAAAATCCTCTATAAGATGAAGACAAAAATGGTTAAAGAAACCTATAAGATGGCCGGCGCTGCAGCTCACTAGGCTAATCCTCCGCCTTGTGGCGCTGGCACACCGGGTTCTAGTCCCAGTCGGGGTGCCGGATTCTGTCCTGGTTGCCCCTCTTCCAGGCCAGCTCTCTGCTGTGGCCAGGGAGTGCAGTGGAGGATGGCCCAAGTACTTGGGCCCTGCACCCCATGGGAGACCAGGAGAAGCACCTGGCTCCTGCCATCGGATCAGCGCGGTGCGTTGGCCTTGGCGGCCATTGGAGGGTGAACCAACAGCAAAGGAAGACTTTTCTCTCTCTCTCTCTCACTGTCCGCTCTGCTTGTCCAAAAAAAAAAAAAAAAAAAAAAAGAGCCGGCGCCATGGCTCAATAGGCTAATCCTCCACCTTGCGGCGCTGGCACACCGGGTTCTAGTCCCGGTCGGGGCACCGGATTCTGTCGCGGTTGCCCCTCTTCCAGGCCAGCTCTCTGCTATGGCCAGGGAGTGCAGTGGAGGATGGCCCAGGTGCTTGGGCCCTGCACCCCATGGGAGACCAGGAAAAGCACCTGGATCCTGGCTCCTGCCATCGGATCAGCGCGGTGCGCCGGCTGCAGCGGCGGCCATTGGAGAGTGAACCAACGGCAAAGGAAGACCTTTCTCTCTCTGTCTCTCTCTCTCACTGTCCACTCTGCCTATCAAAAAAAAAAAAAAAAGAAAAGAAACCTATAAGATACACATCATACCAGCATCAGAGATGAAGTTGCTGAGGTAACAGAAGTTCTATACTGTGCTCAAAGTCATTGTTGGCGCTGTGATGTACTGAATGCAGAGCCCACTGCCACCCTGCCATGGAGATAGGACCATACTCTGGACACCATGAAGCATGGGAGCAGACAGAATTTTGATTGCAGTCCTATTTGATCCCTTTGCATGTCATAGTTCTCATTTGTGTCCGGTCAAACCAAGGAGTAAAAAGTACTTTTTTAAAAAAATGTATACTTTGGAAATTTATGCTCATTAAATAAATAAATGTATAAAAGCATTACCTAAAGCACCTAGAGAACAACTACCCGGGGGTAATGTAAAAATTGGGCCTTCTTAGGCCTTCCTTTTTTTAAACCAAGTTTTAGTCTCTGCTGTTGATATTGAGGTAGGTCAGCATTTAGGCAGTGGGGCTTTTATTTCTTTGGCTTTGGTAGCTTCTAGGCCTCTCTGTTCCTTGATATGAGGTGCAATGGTCTTTTTTCACTTAGGCAGTTTAAGTTGTCATCTTTTGATGAATTTATTTAAAGCTAAAAGCTTTTTCCTTTTCTTCTAGAAGAAAAAAATGTGGTTAAATGTAGTAGTGATTCATACAGGACACTGTCACAAAACCACTCAGCTTAACAATGAATTGACTGATTGTAATGCACTTTCTCTATATTTAAAATTAAAGTTTATAATTCTGTTATTTATTGTAGGATGTAATTAAAACCATTGTGCAGAGTGGTGGCATCAAGCATCTAGTTACCATGGCAACTAGTGAACATGTAATAATGCAGAACGAAGCCCTTGTTGCTTTGGCACTAATAGCAGCTTTAGAATTGGGTAAGTACCCCAGTGACAAAGTTATTTTCTCCTATTTTTATCTTGTATGAAAGGAAGCACAGGAGTGGAACTGAAGTCACATAGGACCTTGACTGGAAGCATTTGGCCTGTACCTGTATCTGAAATAAGGGAACATCTCATTAGATAGGTTGTCAGAGCTGTTTCCGTCAGCTCTGCTTTTAGTAACATTTTTATGGCAGTGCTCTGAGGTTGGCTTAATATTTTAATAATACCTCAAGTTATAGCCACTGAAAAAATATAGACAATGTTTTCAGCAGATTTCATGGAAGAAAAAAATAAGTATTTAAAATAAAACAGCGGCTGGCACCACAGCTCACTAGGCTAATCCTCCGCCTTGCGGCGCTGGCACACCGGGTTCTAGTCCCGGTCAGGGCGCCGGATTCTGTCCTGGTTGCCCCTCTTCCAGGCCAACTCTCTGCTGTGGCCCAGGAGTGCAGTGGAGGATGGCCCAAGTGCTTGGGCCCTGCACCCCATGGGAAACCAGGATAAGTACCTGGCTCCTGCCATCGGATCAGTGCGGTGCGCCGGCCGCGGCAGCCATTGGAGGGTGAACCAATGGCAAAAGGAAGACCTCTCTCTCTCTCACTGTCCACTCTGCCTGTCAAAAAACAAACAAACAAACTATATATATATATATATATATACACACACATATATATATATAACAGCAAGTGAAAAGCCCACTCCTCTTCCAGTAACCCAGACTTTTTCAGTCTCTGCTCTCTGTACTACTGATTTTTTTGTTAATCACCCCTTTCATTTTGGTTTCTATTGCTTTTGTAAAATTGCCTTCATTCTAAATTACCATCTTCTGTGTTGTTCTTACTTGTATTTTGCCATCAAACTCCCCAAAACAGAGCCTGAAGTATTGTGTTAATTTCTGTCTAATGCATTCCTATTTGGCAAAATTTTTCACAAGAAGCTAGTGTAAAGCATCTAGCTTATGAGTAGCAGCTTTTGGCTCAATAAACCCAGCCTGATACAGTAAGCCAAGCCCAGTGTATCAAGACATGGCCTATGTTTAAGACCTAAGACTCCTATACACAAAGGGGCTCATAGAATTAGGTGGGTCCTGTCCAATTCAAGGCATCTGGGTAAATTTAACCAATCCCCTCTTAATTCCCACTGATGACTTATAGCCATAATTCTCACTGGGGCAAGTGGCCCCACCAATGCCAATCCCAGCAAGGAGAAACCAAAAGGTAAATGGCCTCAATGGCTGGAGCTATGCCAATCCAAAGCCAGGAGCTTTCTCCAGGTCCCCCACGTGGGTATAGGGGCCCAAGGACTTTGGCTATCTTTTACTGCTTTCCTAGGCCATAGCAAAGAACTGGATTGGAAGTGGAGCAGCCAGGACTTGACCCACCACCCATATGGGATATCGGCACTGCAGGTAGCAGCTTTACTCACTACACTACAGCACAGACTCCTGAATCTGGTTTTTGTGCCCTTCATGTTTTGTATCTTCCAAGCAAACTGCAACTTCATCAGCTTCCTAATAGTTGAGCATTTGCCTGGGTCTGATCACCTTACCCTAGAACTACAAAAAATGATAATACATATTCACATTTTAATTGTTACTGGTGATCACTAGGCCCCTAGACCCTAAAATGTGAATAAACCTATCCTGCCTTTAAATACACAATCCGCTTTGAAAAACCCTGTTTCTCCAGTCTACAGGCTATAAGAAACTGTCATTACAAATCTTTTGTATAATGTATTTAAAAGCATTTTGAAGAGTCCTTATTTTTTAAAATATAATTGTAGATTTACAGTGCAATTGAAAGAAATAATAAAGAGTGATCCCAGTAGTAACAGTTTGGAGACCTATAGCATATCTCTATTGATATGTTACTTATCTTATTCAGATTCCCCAGTTTTATTAATGCTTATTTGTGTATATGTTAAGTTCTATATAGTTTTATTGTGTGGGACTGCATCTACCACCAGAGTTAACATACTGAAGACTTCCAACACCATAAAGATCCTTTCTGATGCCCATTTATAGCCACACCCACCTTCTGCCTCTATCCCCTAGAAAACAGTAACGTGTCCCTTCATTAATAAAATTTTATCATCTCAAAAATGCTACATACATTGGGCCAAACAACATAACCTTTTATGATTAACTTTTTGTATGTTTGCTCAGCATAATTCAAGTTATCTAATTTATATATAAATAGTTCATGCCTTTTTACTATTGAATAGTACTCCATGGTAAGTCCTTATATTATCATATTATATTATCAGGGCCGGCGCCATGGCTCAATAGGCTAATCCTCCGCCTTGCGGCGCTGGCACACCGGGTTCTAGTCCCGATCGGGGCACCAGATTCTGTCCCGGTTGCCCCTCTTCCAGGCCAGCTCTCTGCTGTGGCCAGGGAGTGCAGTGGAGGATGGCCCAAGTGCTTGGGCCCTGCACCCCATGGGAGACCAGGAGAAGCACCTGGCTCCTGGCTTCGGATCAGCGCGATGCGCCGGCCGCGGCGGCCATTGGAGGGTGAACCAACGGCAAAAGGAAGACCTTTCTGTCTCTCTCACTGTCCACTCTGCCTGTTAAAAATAAAAAAAATAAACTATGATAATATATGAAGAATCTTTTAACAGTCACCTACTGAAGGACATCTTAACTGAATCCAGTTTTGAGCTTTAAAAAAAATAAGGCAGCTGAAAACACTTTTGTACAGGTTTTTAAGTGAATGTACATTTCCTTTTCTCTAGATAAATGCCTAGGAATGCAGTTGCTGTGTTGTATGGTACCTACATGTTTAGTTTTTAAGGAAGTTGTCACCCTGTTTTCTAGAGTGGCTGTAACACATTTCTGTCAGCATTGTAAGACTGACCCAGTTTTTTCTCTGCATCCTTTCCAGCATTTGGTGTTGTCACTATTTTTAATCCTAACCAACCTAACCGCTATGTAATGATATCTCATTGTGGTTTTCATTTCCATCTCCCTAATGGCTAATAATATTGAATATATTTTCATATGCTTATTCATGACCTGTAAATATTTTTGGTGAAGTGCCTATGTTTTGCTTATTTTCTACTTCATTTAACTGTGTATGAGGATACCTCAAAAATTTCATATAAATGTATATTATGAAAAAAAACTATGCATGGATCTCAAAAATTTTTTTTCACCAACATAGACCTTTGATTCCAGTTTTCTATGAACTTTTTGAAATACCCTTGTATTTCTGTCCTATATTCAGTTCCTTTGATCTTTGTGTCTATCTGTCCCTCTACTGATGATACCATAGTATCTTGACTACTGCAGCTGTATAGTAAGCCTTAATATTGGATAGAGAAATTTTTATTCTTTACCAAAATTGTTTTAGCTATTCCACAGCCAGTGGCTTTTCAAATACATTTTAGTATGTATAAGCTTATCTATTTCTATAGAAATTTTTGATGGAATTTTGATGAGATTTATATTAGGAGACTTTCTTTTAAAGAAATAAAATATTTGTGGAAGAAATTAAGTGATATGTAGGATTTATTTCAAAATAACTTGATAGAGGTAGAAAAAATATTGTCTAATTCTTAATGGCAGTGGTTGTGTCTGTTTAGCACTTTTCATAAATTGCCTATTAAATATTAAGTCTAATTAACTCAAATGTATATGGAAATCTAGTTCTACTATTTTCATGTAGTCTGAATTTACTATTTTTCTAGATCATTTTTATTTATCAGTCTCTTTAGGGAGGTTCCATAGTTTCTAGCAGAGGAAGGTGGATTATCCTGAATGCACTGAGTTCATAACAGCAGATGTAACTCATTTTGCTTCATATTTTAGGCACTGCTGAAAAAGACCTAGAAAGTGCTAAACTTGTACAGATTTTACACAGACTGCTAGCAGATGAGAGAAGTGCTCCTGAAATAAAATACAATTCCATGGTCCTGATCTGTGCTCTCATGGGATCTGGTAAGTATTTCCTGTATCAATACATGATTAACACTAAATATTAAATGTGGCTGAATAGTTAATGGTGACTTGGGGTTTTAAAAGCTTTAGAAATTATTTCACAGAATATGTAGGATTACTTCTACAATGAAAACATTTCCAAAAGATTCTTGCTATAACAGAAAATACCATCTGGCAAATATAGGCAAAAATTAGTGTTAAATAAAGTTTCATTAACCCTAATGATTTATTTTATATAAAGAACAAGTTCTTCCTTTGTATGCTGTATTAGCTAAGAAATCCATCCTAGGAATCATGGGCATATCTTGGTATATGTTCTAAGAACACTTGAAAGGGCCATGTATTATATTAGGTAGAGTGATCTATCGATGTTGATTAGATCATGTTGATTGATGGTGGTGTCAATTATCCCAGGGTGTGATCATCTGAATGATTCTATCAATTACTGAGAAAGGAGTCTTTTTTTTTTTTAATTTTTAACCTTTATTTAATGAATATAAATTTCCAAAGTACAGAATATTGATTACAATGGCTTCCCCCCCATAACGTCCCTCCAACCTGCAACCCTCCCCTTATCCACTCCCTCTCCCCTTCCATTCATATCAAGATTCATTTTCAATTCTCTTTATATACAGATCAGTTTAGCATATATTAAGTAAAGATTTCAACAGTTTGCTCCCACACAGAAACAAAGTGAAAAATACTCGTTGAGTACTAGTTATAGCATTAGATCTCAATGTACAGCACACTAAGGACAAAGATCCTACATGAGGAGTAAGTGCACAGTGACTCCTGTTGTTGACTTAACAAATTGACACTCTTGTTTATGGCATCAGTAATCACCCTAGGCTCTTGTCATGAGCTGCCAAGGCTATGGAAGCCCCCTGAGTTCACTGACTCTGATCATTTTTAGACAAGGCCATGGTCAAAGTGGAAGTTCTCTCCTCCCTTCAGAGAAAGGTACCTCTCCTTCTTTGATGACCCATTCTTTCCACTGGGATCTCACTCATGGAGATCTTTCATTTAGGTTTTTTTTTCCCCCAGAGTGTCTTGGCTTTCCATGCCTGAAATACTCTCATGGGCATTTCAGCCGGATCCGCATGCCTTAAGGGCTGATTCTGAGGCCAGAGTGCTGTTAGACATTTGCCATTCTATGGGTCTGCTGTGTATCTCACTTCCCATGTTGGATCATTCTCTCCCTTTTTGATTCTATCAGCTAGTATTTGCAGACACTATTGTTTATGTGATCCCTTTGGTTCTTAGTCCTATCATTATGATCAATTGTGAACAGAAATTGATCACTGGGACTAGTGAGATGGCATTGGTACATGCCACCTCGATGGGATTGAATTCGAATCCCCTGGTATGTTTCTAACTCTACTGTTTAGGTAAGTCAGCTTGAGCATGTCCCGAATTACACATCTCTTCCCTCTCTTATTCCCACTCTTATATTTAACAGCGATCACTTTTCAGTTAAGTTTCAGCACTTAAGAAGAATTGTGTATTGATTACAGTATTCAAAAGTATTAAGTAGAACAAACAAAAAAATACTAAGAGGGATAACATATTAAGCTGCTCATCAACAGTCAGGGTGAGGGCTGATCAAGTCACTGGTTCTCATAGTGTTCCTTTCACTTTAACAGGTTTCCTTTTTGGTGCTCAGTTAGTTGTCACCTATCAAGGAGAACAAGTGGTATTTGTCCCTTTAGGATTGGCTTATTTCACTCAACAATGTTTTCCAAATTCCTAACAGGGATCACTTTTCAGTTAAAATTTAAACGCCTAAGAATAATTGTGTGTTAATTACAGAGTTCAACCAATGGTACTAGAACAAAAAAAAAATACTAAAATGGATAAAGTATTACATTGTACATCAACCGTCAGGACAAGAGCTGATCAAGTCACTGTTTCTCATAGTGTCCATTTCACTTCAACAAGTTTCCCCTTTGGTGCTCAGTTAGTTGTCGCCAATCAGGGAGAACATATGATATTTGTCCCTTTGGGACTGGCTTAATTCAATCAGCATGATGTTTTCCAAATTCCTCCATCTTGTTGCAAATGACTGGGTTTCGTTGTTTTTGACTGCTGTATAGTATTCTATACAGTACATGTCCCATAATTTCTTTATCCAGTCTACTGTTGATGGGCATTTGGGTTGGTTGCAGGTCTTAGCTATTGTGAATTGAGCTGCAATAAACATTAATGTGCAGACTGCTTTTTTGTTTGCCAATTTCCTTTGTGTAAATTCCAAGGAGTGGGATGGCTGGGTTGAATGGTAGGGTTATATTCAGGTTTCTGAGGAATCTCCAGACTGACTTCCATAGTGGCTTAACCAATTTGCATTCCCACCAACAGTGGGTTAGTGTTCCTTTTTCCCCACATCCTCTCCAGCATCTATTGTTGGTAGATTTCTGCATGTGAGCCATTCTAACTGGGGTGAGGTGGAACCTCATTGTGGTTTTGATTTGCATTTCCCTGATTGCTAGTGATCTTGAACATTTTTTCATGTGTCTGTTGGCCATTTGGATTTCCTCTTTTGAAAAATGTCTATTGAAGTCCTTGGCCCATCTCTTAAGTGGGTTGTTTGTTTTGATCTTGTGGAGTTTCTTGATTTCTTTGTAGATTCTGGTTATCAACCCTTTATCAGTTGCATAGTTTGCAAATATATTTTCCCATTCTGTCGGTTGTCTCTTCACTTTCCTGACTGTTTCTTTTGAGAAAGGAGTCTTTTGAATACTCCCAGTTATAATTGTGAATTGTCTGTTTCTCCTTCCAGGGCTATCAATTTCCGCTCCACTAATTTCTCAGCTCTGTTAGGTACATATACCTTCTCTTTGCCTTCTTAGTTCTGTTACATAGCATCCTTCACTGTCTCTAGTAATTTTCTTTGCTCTGAAGTCTACTTTACCTAATATTAACCTAGCTGTCTGTGCTTTCCATCTGCTAAATTGTTTATTTGAAGTATCTTATACTCGGCATAGAGTTGGGTCATGTTCTTTAATCTACTCTGCCAATCCCTTTTATTTGATAATTCAGACCATTTCATTTATATTTAGTATAATGACATTATAGCTTGGCTGCAGTTTCATTATTGTTTCCTATTTGTACCATTTTTTTTCTTACCTCCAGAGGTTAACAACATTTTTTAGTACATTTATTCTTTAATTCTAAACTATTTCTTCTTATATACATTTAGAACCACAGTGGACAGTATTAAAATTTGTTTCCACCAGCAACCTTAATCAGAAAACTCTTGAAAGAAGGAAAGTCTATTGTGTCTACCTACAACCTACATTGAGAATATCTTGATTTCTCCTTCATTCCTGTATTTTCTCCAGGTACAGGACTTTGAACTCATAGTTCTTTTCTTTCTGCACTTAAATATTGTGCTTTCTTCTGCTATCTTCTAGCCTCCATGGTTTCTTATAAGAAATCATTGGGTTCCAATTTGTTTATTCCCATTTCTGTCTCAAGATTTTTTGTCTGCAGATTGCAGATGACTATGATGTATCTTGACATGGATTTCTTTTGGTTATCCTGTTTTGAGGTTTGCTCAACTTCTTAGACACCTGAAGAGCTACATCTTCTGCTAAATTTACGAAGTTGTTAATACTTTAAGATTTTATTAATTTAGGAGAGAGAAATCTTCCATCCACTGGTTCATTCCCCAAATGGCCACACCCACTAGGGCTGAGTCAGGCTGAAGCCAGGAGCTTCAACCAGTTCTCCCACTTGGGCTATCTTCTGCTTTTCCAAAGCATTTTAGCATGGAGCTAGATTAAAGTGGAACAGCCAGGACTCAAACCGGCACCCATATGGTATGATGGTATTGCAGTGGCTTTACCCACAGTGCCATATTGCTAGCCCACATTATTTCTTCAGATATTTTTCAACTCTGCCCTGTTTCTCTTCCTTCTGAGTCTCTGATTAGACAAATGTGAGATCTTTGGATATAGTCCTCAGAGTCCTGAGTTGTCTCCCCCCCTCCCCACAACTTTATTTCTTCCTTACTATTTAGATTCTTTGTTCAGCAGTTTGTTATTCTGTCTTAAAGTCCTCACCATTCTGATAGTGAGCCTTTCAAGTTTTATTTCAGTTATTGTATTTTTGTTTCAAAGCATTTAGATAAATTATTTTTCTACAATTTAAAAAATGCCATATTATGATTTAACCCATTTTAAAGTGTACAGTTTAGTGGCATTAAATACACTTACGTGCCTATGCAACCATCACCTTCAGTATCTAAACCTTTCCCATCTTTCCAAACTGAAACTCAGTACTCATTAAACAGTTACTCCTCATTCACTCCTCTTCTCAGCCTCTGGAAACTACCATTCTGTTTTTCGTCTGTATGAATATTACTACTCTAGACATCTTCTATGTGGAATGAAATATTTGTCCTTTTGTATCTGGCTTGTTTCATTTACATAGTATCTTTAAGATCCTCTGTGTTGTAGCATGTATCAGAATTTTATTTTCTTTTAAGGTAGAATAATGTTCCATTGTATGAATATCACATTTTGTTTATCCATTTTACCTATTGTATTATTGCTACCATTTTCCTTTTGAGAATTGTTATGAACATTGATATACAGATATTTTTTATTCCCTAGTTTGAGATCTTTTGGGTTTATACACACATGAAACTGCTGGGTCATACAGTAATTGTTCTGGTTTTTGAGGAACTACCATACTATTTTTTATAATGATTAGACCATTTTACATTTCTACTAGCATATGCAATGCATAAGTGTTCCATTTTTTCAATATCACCACCAATACATATAGTCTCCTCTTTCCACTTGCCCACCGGTGTCTCGGGCTATTGAGGTTCGACTTACCTCGTGTTCCAGCGCTGGTGCATTGATTCTGCCGCTGGTGTCCTGAATTGTGGGCCCCCATGCTCTCCACGCAGGTCCACTGTGAATCACTAGTTCCAGAAGAGTTTCCTCTGCTGTTTCTTCCCCTACTCTTCCTTGAACCTGCAGTATCTCCACTTTTATTAAACTGGCTCTTCCCGGACTATCAGTGTGCTCCCTTCCTATTCCACCATCTTGCCGCTCTCCCTTATAATAGCTATTCTAATGAGTGTGAGGAAATATCTTATTGTAGTCTTATTTTCATTTCTCTAACATGTGTTGATATTGTGGATCTCTTTGTATATTGATTGGTTATTTGTAGGTTATCTTTGGAGAAATGTCTACAAGTCTTTTACCTATTTTTTAAGTCAAATGGTTTTGTTGTTGAGTTGTAGTTCTTTATGTATAATCCCTAATCTCTTATGAGATAAGCAAATATTTGCTTATTTTGCTCTGATAGTATTTTTCCATTGATATAAATTATCCATTATTTGGTATTGTGTTAATTGATTCAAAGTATAATGACCAAAAAAGGATAACTTATATTTCTCTCTCCTTAAAACTTTAGTGTTTATGTTGGCATGCTTCAAACTCTACTCAATAGGTCAGACTACTGCTTGTGACACCCACATCTCCTATCAGAGTGCCAAATCGAGTCCCAGCTGCTCCACTTCTGATATAGCTTACTGCCAGTGCAGCAGATGACAACCCAAGAATGTGGGCCCCTTCCACCCACATGGGAGACCAAGATTGAATGCCCCTGGCTTCAGCCTGACCCAGCCCTGACTATTGTAGCCATTGGGGAGTGAACCAGCTGATGGAAGATAGCCATCTTTGGTCACAGCTTTTCAAACAAATATACGTTTATTTAGTGCAAAAATTTTATTGTATTTGAAAGGCAGAGTTTGGGGGGTAATCTTCCATGTGCTGGTTTACCCCTCAGATGGTTACAACAGCCAGGGCTAGTCAAGGCTAAAGCCAGGGGCCAGGAACTTCATCCAAGTCTCCTATGTGGGTGGCAGGGGCCCAAACACTTGCACTTGCTTTTCCCAGACCATTAGCAGAGAGCTGGATTGGAAGTGGAGCAGCTGGCACCCACATAGGATGCTAGTGGTAGTTTTACCCACTACACCACACCACCAGCCCCTGGTGCAAAAATTTGGAAGCCTTTGCATATAAGAGGTCTTCAAAAAGTTCATGAAAATGAGTAGTATGGAAAAACTTTACATGAATTTCAAAAATTTTTCTACAAAGTAAACTTTTAATTCCATTGTCCATGAACTTTTTGAAGTGCTTTCATAGGTAATAAGTGTGTAATCTACTGTGCTGGAGAACCCTAGAACTTATTCTTCCTATCTATGTTTTTGGGATGTTATCTAGCCTGTCTCTTTCTCCCTCCCCTTCGTAGCTTCTGACAGCCACTATTCTACTCTCCATTTCTATGAAATCAACTTTAGCTTCTAAGAAAAAGAACATACAGTACTTGTGTTTTGTTCCTGGCTTATTTCATGGTGGTGTCCTTACATGCACAAAACTATTTCAATTTTATAAAATCCAATTTATTTTTCTTCTGTTGCCTGTGCTTTTGTCGTTGTTCCCAAGGAATCATTTTTAAAATCCTGTGTCAAAGTTTTCCCCCTATGCTTTCTTCTACAAGTCCTATCAGTTTTAGCTCTTCCATTTAGATTGTGGATCTACCCCCCCTTTAAATTTATTTATTTATCAGAAAAAGCAGAGTGGTAGGAGGATAGTGCAAGGGAGGTTACATCCACCGGTTCACTCCTCAGATGCCTGTAACATGCAGGGCTGGGCCAGGACGTCCCATGTGGGTGACAGGAACCCAGGTAGTTTAGCCATCATCTGCTGCCTGCTAGCATGTACAACTGCAGAAAGCTGAATTGGAAACAGGGCAGGATTTGATCCCCGACACTCCAATATGGGATTTAAGAGTCCCAAGCAGCTGCTTAATCTGGTATACCACAGCACCTGCCCCTGTGTATCTTTGTCCTTATACTTGTACTACACTGTTTTGAATATCATAATGAGAGGTCAAACATCCACTGGTTCTCAAATTGCCACAATAGCCAGGGGGAGGCCAGGCCGAAGCCAGAAGCCCAGAACTCCGTCTCCCACATGGGTGGCAGGAGTACAAATACTTTGGCCCACGTTCTGCCTCTTTCTCAGACACATTAGCAGGGAGCTGGATCAGAAGTGGTGCACTCAGGACTCAAATCAGTGCTCTGCTGTGGGATGCCTGCATTCCAAGTGGCAGTTTAACCTGCTGCGCAACAACACTGGCCCCTCCATTAGGGTTTTTTTTTTTTTTTTTTTTTTTTTTTTGGACAGGCAGAGTGGACAGAGAGAGAGACAGAGAAAGGTCTTCCTTTGCCGTTGGTTCACCCTCCAATGGCCGGCACCGCACTGATCCGATGGCAGGAGCCAGGTGCTTCTCCTGGTCTCCCATGGGGTACAGGGCCCAAGTACTTGGGCCATCCTCCACTGCACTCCCTGGCCACAGCAGAGAGCTGGCCTGGAAGAGGGGCAACCAGGACAGAATCCGGCGCCCCGACCGGGACTAGAACCTGGTGTGCCGGCGCCGCAAGGCGGAGGATTAGCCTAGTGAGCCACGGCACCGGCCCCCTCCATTAGGTTTTGAAGTCAGTAATACTGTTTTGCAAGATTGCTTTGTGGATTCAAGGTACTTAAATTCCATATGAATTCTAGCATGGCTTTCTCTATTTCTCCTAAAAATGTTGGTCCTAGTTTTATATGTCAGTCTTATTAAACACAGGTATTTGAAGAGTGATTATATTAAACATATTTGACTTTAGTCTTAAAGGGAATTCTCCAATTTCCTGTAATTGACGCTAAGTGGAGCAAGAAAGCCAGAAAGAGGAGGATAGGAAATCTGAAAGGTAGAACACTGTCAGAAAAATTTGTAGAAAGAACAAAAAGTATACATTTTAGCAGTTACCAAGGTTCTTACCAAAATCATTTTCATATTTGAACTCATGATAGGGTTAAGTACTACATAACTGAAACATGAGGTAATACAATGAGCTATGTTTAATTATAACTCATTATCCTAATCAATCTTAGACTACAGAATTTAACATCAGATATATCTTTATAAAAATATAGCAAATAGGGGCCGGCACTGTGGCAGAGCAGGTAAAGCTGCCACCTGCAGTGCCATCATCCCATATGAGCGCCAGTTCAAGTCCCGGCTGTTCTACTTCCAATCTAGCTCTCTGCTATGGCCTGGGAAAGCAGTAGAAGATGGCCCAAGTCCTTGGGCCCCTGCACCCATGTGAGACCAGGAAGAAGCACCTGGCTCCTCACTCTGGATCAGCGCAGCTCTGGCCCTTGCGGCCAATTGAGGAGTGAACCAGCAGATGGAAGGCCTCTCTGGGGCCAGCACTGTGGCACAGCGGGTTAAAGCCCTGGCCTGAAGCACTGGCATCCCATATGGGCACTGGTTAGAGATCTGGCTGCTCCACTTCTGATCCAGTGCTCTGCTATGGCCTGGGAAAGCAGTGGAGGATGGCCCAAGTCCTTGAGGCCCTGCACCCACATGGGAGACCTGAGGGAAGCTCTGGCTTTGGATCAGCGCAGCTCTGGCCATTGCAGCCAATTGGGGAGTGAACCAGCGGATGGAAGACCTCTCTCTCTGCCTCTTTGTGTAACTACAACTTTCAAATAAATCTTTAAAATATATATCAAGCAAAGTTTCTGACTTTTTAACATATTCCTCGACTACTGCTACATCTTTCTCCAGAATTATATCTCAGATTCATCAAAATAAACATTTTGGGCATATATTTTTGGTAGAAAAATGTAGTGGCCAACTAAGCCTCCACCTGTGGTGCCAGTATCCCATATGGGCATTGGTTCATGTCCTAGCTGCTCCTCTTTTGATCCAGCTCTCTGCTTATGGCCTGGGAAAGCAGTGGAAGATGGCCTAAGTACATGGGAGACCTGGAAGAAGCTCTGGGCTTCATATTGGCTTGACTCTGGCCATTGTGGCCATTTGGGGAGTGAAACAATGGATGGAAGACCCTTCTGTCTTTCCCTGTCTAACTCTACCTGTCAAAATTTTAAAAACACACACAACTAACAGAAGCATATCTGCTATCTATTTTTGTCTTCCAGAGTCTCTACACAAGGAAGTCCAGGATTTGGCCTTTCTAGATGTTATATCCAAGCTTCGCAGTCATGAGAACAAAAATGTTGCCCAACAGGCCTCTCTCACAGAGCAGAGACTTACTGTGGAAAGCTGAGACGCACAGCATCTTCCCATCTCTGAACTCCCCTTTGTCCTCCATCCAGCTGCCTCTTCTGCTTCATTCTTTACCATATCACTTGTGCATGCGTGTAATGTTCCCATAGCAATGGAAGAACTGCTGTAGGTACCTGCCTAATAAGATTTCTAAACCCACAGTTAGTGTGAACATGGCTTTGTCAGAAACAGGTCTCCACCCATAACTGTTCTCTTGTATTCCTGTTGCTTGAACTACATTAATTAGAATGTGCATGTTGTAGTCCTTTGATGATATAAACTTGGTACTACATAATGACTTGCTCCTCACATGCCGTAAGCCACATAATAATGTACTGGTAAATTAGAAACAAAGAACGCAGCAGGACCTGTCTAGCTTATTGAAAATGAAACTGAATAGTAAAAATAGCTCCTTTTTTGGTGCTTCGGGAAGCACAGTGACCAAAAAACTGTATGGCTGTACATTCATTAATCTTACCTACTAATGTCAAACTCATGGTACCTAGAGTTGAATAAAATTCCAATGCTCTCAATCTTTACCCTATGGTTTCTCCTTTTTCCTAACTATGTAGACTACTAAAATGGCCACAAATTTGGCAAGACATCCTGAGGTTTCTGATGCCATATTTAATTGGCTGTCATTAACACCTTACTGTTAAAAACCTTGTAATTTTCAATGTGAAACTAGGGGTTGAAGAATCTGACATTAGAGCATTTGGGTTTTACCTGTATTTTAGATTCTGATCCATGTGCAGTTTCACCTCAGAACATCTTCCATGAGTTGATCAGCATTGTCCAACACTTGTACAAGTCACTTAGTACTTGTTTTCAGGTGAGGAAATGGTAGCTCACTGAAGAATGGGGGGAGGGGTTGTGTGTGTGTGTGTGTGTGTGTGCGCGCTGCTTCTCATCATTCAGGTGAAAGGTTTTCATCTTTCACAGTCCTTTTAAATCTTCTATTAGAACTAGCAGGACACAGGAGGAAAGATGAATAAGCTTGTTTAGACTAAAGGAAGGAAGGAAGTAATAAAAGCCATAGTAGCCAGTCCAGTTCATTCCACTGATGGTCTCATACCTGTCACTGTTAATTGTCCACCTCCACTTTCCCACTGAGAATGGCAGTAACCATAAAGACTCCCTTGGCAAAACAGAGTGTACTCTTCACTACTGCCACCACCACCACATGGTATTCTAGCGCTTTGAAACACAATCTTCATAAATTAACCAGAGCATCCCTGTGACCCGCCTGCCTTCTCCCTGTACCCGAATTTGACCACTGTTGGCCTAAGACAAGATGGCTCCAATATGGAAGGAGTGCAGGATAGTGGCAGGGGCTTCCAAGGAGGTGACAAGTGTCCTCCCCTCCAACATGAGATGCTGCACATCTCTATAGGTGTGCTAAGTTGGACTTTCGACTCCAATAAAACCACTATACTTCAGGGAAGTTAAAACCCTAATGGAGGTAAATAATCTTAACTGATTGTTCCCTTGGATATCCAAATAAGGGACTATTGTGAGTTCTTATGCTACACTTACTGTAAGAATGATCTTGTTTATTGTCAATCTTCTGGACTGGATAGTGGACTATATTTTATAGGTTTTGAAAAACATGTTGCATAATAGATTGTGCATATTAATAACTTAATAAATGGTATATCAAACTACAGTAGCATCATTTGTCTGGTTTTGTGTATTTTTACATATACCTCCAGCTCCTCTAACAGTGCTTGCTCACTGTGGGTTGTCAGTATTTGTTGAATGAATAAAATTCCTATTTCCATGAAGTTTCAAGACTCCCTAAACTAATTCCAGATAGATGATCAATAGGAAATTTGAGATTTAGGTAGTTTGACTTAAAGGGAAAAAGTTTTGATAGTAGGATCTGTCCCTTTCTGTATAATTACAGAAAGCCTCAGAACATTCTAAAATCAGATTTGAGAGGAGACGCCATCTGGACCAGCTTCCAGCAATCAATTCACCGATATGCTAGCAATTCTCATCTCTAGCAAAACAAAGGGCAATTTGAGTGACTAAGTGTTCTATAGAAAGACCAGAAGACCATGCATCTAAGATGACAAGGGTCCACCCAGTTACATCCTGCACTGCTGTGCCATGGCAGTGGGAGGCAGGTTACAGGCTGTACCGTCCCTTAGCTCCTCCCTTATCTCCTACCACCAACCTCACGAGTTAGTTTACTATCTACTCAGTGTGCTTTCTAAGGGAGGATACAGGCAGAACAGCACAACAAAGCTTTAACTATCATTTTGTGCCAGGATTAGAGCATAGATGAAAAGAAAAAAGGCCTAAAAATCCCAGGGAACAGGGGAAAGATGGCTGGCTGGGTGAAACACTAGAATAGTCCCCCTGCCTTCAGCCCCATTGTCAACTTGGAATCCCACTGACCACCCACCCCACCCTAGGTGGTAACTTCTTGATGCTCAGAACAAAACTGATCAAACACTAGCCTGTAATCCAGTGTTTTCCTTGATAAAACATGTTTGGGCATACTGATAAGGAAGATGTGGAATTAAGATTTTTCATTTCTGAAGTGATTTCCTGATGGGTGGAACGGGAGGCAACTGTCAGATGGAAGCAGCAATGTGAAATGTTCGGAGAAACCCTGCACGTGAAGAATTCAAAAACGAAATGCCCTTTCATATCATTAGAAAATACTAATTCTGTCGAGCACACCGGCTGAGGATGTCTGGATAAAGACATTTACTTAGGTGAGCATTACCTTTGTATCCAGCTGTTACAAGAATTAGCTTAAAAGCCATTTAACTCTAGGAAACCATGATGCTTGAATTACATAAGTATCTATTAGAAGGTACTTAATGATACGTAGGATGAGTTGTAACCTGGAAAACAGAGGCCTTTTTTCTGCACAGGTATCATCTCTTTACGTTCATGTACAAACACCCACGTACAAAGCACTTGCAAAAGTTCATGGAAAATGGAATTTAGACATGTTTATTTTGGTGCAAAATTTGAACTCCATGCATCGTATTTCATAATGTGTATTTCTTCAGACTTTCTGAATATTCCCTGTATGTATGCATTTCAGTTTTTTCACACCAAGATAAATTTATCATTTTATTTTCTACAAACTCTTTGAAGTACTCTTGGAAAGCTTCCTAAGTGTTTTATTAGGGATGTCTGCCTGAAATGTTGAGATAACTACTTCGACAGTGTCAGAGTAGGAGAAGGGTGGTCTGGATAATGTCTGATCTGTAGTCATAACCTGGTACTGTTACATACTGGCTCTTGTGACCATAGCCAGGTTACTTTAACTCCCTGGGCTGGCTGGCTTCTCAGTGTAACAAGTTTAGAAATTCCTACTTCTCAGAACTTTTGTGACAAAACTTTTAGAAGCTGGATGGTTGGATGGAAGTGTGATATATTCCTGTTTATACTTCCCCCACCCCTCCACAGGATTCCCAGCTGACAGAATTCAAAATATCACCACTGAACCGAAGACAAGGTGTCTCTCAATAGCTTGAGGGCTCTCAGCCATACTCTGCATAGAGTTCATAATCCCTCACTTCCCCGAAATGGAGATGACCAGGTCTGCAGAAAATCCTTGTATATCAGTCCCCTCTACAGGGCTTTCTCTTCCTGTCTCAGCCCTTTTCATTGTGAAGTGACAGTAGCTCAGTTCGACTAGCTTTTATTAATATGACTCAGTCAATATAACTAAACTGTATTAACGTTTTTCCTCAATAACAAACCTTTTTTTAAAATTGAGCTTTTTAGCTATGGCCACAGATATTCTAACAACACATCGAAAGTGGACAGAATTTAAAAAAAGGAAGTGGACGGTGGACACATGTCTACTGTTCATAACACCATATAGGAACCTAAATGGTGACAACTCTTTGTATACTGCAACCAAATGACAAAGAAGTCAAACTCAAGCTAGGTGGCAACTGGCACATGGCCTTTGCTCCCTCAGTCCCTGGGCTGCTTACTGGTGTTTTTGCAGTTGTCCCAAGAGAAACAGTGTAGAGCCTCCCTCTTGTTTCCTAAGTATAGGGGATTCTACTACTGCTACTACCACATCTGTTTCAAAATGGGCCTCTCTTGGGGCCAGCGCTGTGGCGCAGCAGGTTAAAGCCCTGGCCTGAAGCGCCAGAATCCCATATGGGTGCCGGTTCATGTCCCAACTGCCCCTCTTCCCATCCAGCTCTCTGCTATGGCCTGGGATACAGAAGATGGACCAAGTCCTTGGGGCCCCTGCACCCCCGTGGGAGACCCAGAAGAAGCTCCTGGTTTCAAATAGGTGCAGCTCCGGCCGTTGCAGCCATCTGGGGAGTGAGCCAACAGATGGAAGATCTTTCTCACTCTTTCAAATAAATAAAATAAATCTTTAAAAATGGGCCTCTCTTCTAGCCAAATGCTTTTTTGCTTTTTGAAGAATGGAGCCATGCCTTATAACTGAAAGGCAGGCACTACCTGCTGCTTGGATGCTGGCTACACGCCCTACCCTCGGGCCATGTGTGCACCCACAGGGAAAAAAAAAAAGCCTCTCCTTTAGGACTTGTCCGCATTCTCCCAGTGTCAGCATCCTCCCACCACCAGGACCATCAGAGCAGCTCAGTGCCTCGGACCTTGATCTCAACTTTCTGCTGCTTAATTCCTCTATGTCTACCATAGGCACATCAAACACCTAAAATAACTTAGAACTTCTGAGGGAGGAGAAGGTTGAGTAGTCCCACCTCTGGGGAAACCCAAAATAGTTCCCAATTTACCATCAGTAGGTGCTTGCTTTGCCCTGCCCTCCCTTTGAGTTTCTAGAACACATCCCACTCTCCATCAGCCTCTCCCACAATGACGTCCTTTTAATGACTCATTCTGCTCTTTTCACCCACACAGCCTCATCCCCAGGGTCCAGCAGAAGCTGGAGGAAGTGACGACAGCACAGGAGTCAGTGAGCCACCTGGTATCCCAAGGTAGCAACTATTAAGGCCTGCTGCCCCCTTCCCTAGCTCTTGCCTCTTGTTCCCTTCATGTAATTGAGCAATGCAGTGACTTTCCCTGAACCATGAGGAGTGGGAGCAAGATGATAACTGACCTAAGAAAAGCATCTGATGAAAATTCGTTTCCTGCTACTCTAGAGATTAACCATGCACTTAACGTTCTAGCCTAATTTGACAGCCACTTAGCCTCTAAAAGCATGACTTGTTAAACCTGTGGCTAATGCCTGATGCAAAGTTCCAGAATGACATCTGGCCCACCCTCCCCCAGCATCTGCCCTGTGGGTCTTTTACACAGCTGAAGTTTTAGATCACCAGTAGCGCTGTCCTTTTATCTCCCTTTATACAATTAGAATATGTCATGTTACTAGGAATCATGAGATTTTAATGACTCAATTTTTTTTCCATTTATGTGAAAGAATAAACAGTGCTCCCAACCACAAGTTTACTCCCACTCCCCAAATTCCCAAATCAGCTGTGAGTGAGATGGGCAGAAGCTGGAAGCTCAATCTAGGTCTCCCATGTGAATGGCAGTGGCCAAGCTATTTGAGCCGTCACTGCTGCCT